TGCTGGGTCTCCTGCGTGGTGGTGTCAGTGCACGGGCTGCTCATGGTGGCCCCAGAAGGTGCACTTTGGAAAGGTTTACGTGTGCCCCATGAGGTCCTTATCCTCTAAACTCGGTAGGAACGAGCTAGCCCAGAAGCTGCAGAAACTTGCAGACAACTTGTGGCTGAACAGGGGCCTGGCAGGAGCTGGGGAAGGGCTGGGAGGACCCCCCCCCAGGGGTCACTGCGCTTGGCTCCAGCTCCCTGGTGCTGCTGGGCTCCTGCCCGCCTGCACAGAGGCCTGCTGGCTGTCCTCAGTGCTGGTGGCTGTGGCTGGTCTAGGGACGCAGCCTGGGGCTCAGGGCTCTGCTGTCTCTTCTCCAAACTCTCTTTCCCACCTGCATCTGCACTGAGGCCGGGCAGAGAGCAGAGGAGCAGCCCAGTGCAGGGCCCGGGGTCTCCCCGCAGCTCCCGGCAGCGGCAGCGCTGCCCCGGCACAGCCCCCCGGGAGCAGGGACACATCCCAAGGGCAGCCTGTGCAGGGCTGTGCTGGAGGACAGGGGCAATTTAACAACAAATTAGGCAGGGAAGATGAGCTGCTCCCAACTTACTCCTCCAGCCTCTGACAGCCCGGTCGGAGCTTCCTGCTGGCTCTGGAGGCAGGATGGCCACATCCGGGCTGTCCCGGTGCTGGGAGCAGGGCCTGGCAGGTGGCAAAGCTTTGGAGAGGGAAGGGTGGCCTGGCTGCAGCCTCCTGTTCTGCAAGGCATCACCCACATCTGCCTCATGCCTCTTGAGGGGAGGAGAAGGGAACAGCTGCCCATGTGGGACTGAAGCCCCCCAGGGTGCTGTCACATGCCAAGGGGGGCTGGCCATGCCTGTGGAAGGTCAGTGCTTGTCCAGTGCCAAACACAGCTCTGGTCTGGCGTGCTGGTTCTAGCAGCTCATTTTGGGACGAGCCATTGGGCAGAGATTTAACCACAGTCCCTCCAAAGGGCCCTTGTTCCCCCTGCAGAGCTGTCCCACGGGACAGCCCGGGCTGTTG